CTTGACCCCCTCGCGGCCACTGCTGGGGAGCGGCCAGTTCTCATAACTCGCATTCCAGTTGCTGTAAGGCATTGAATAAACCACAGTAGCTTCTCTTGGGTCTTCCAATGCGTTCACATTTATTTCCAGTCTTTCCTGCTGTTCCAACACACGTGATGCGAGTTTGAACTTTTCAACCCAGAAAAAATCCCTTTTGTGAAATTTCAGGTGAGTTTTTCATTAACTCTTATCACAACCTAAATATCATAATTTTATCAACCAAGTGTGGTTATTAAAATGCATGTTTTTAAGCCTAACATTGTATAAATATAGCTCAAACGTAAACTTTTAGAGAAATGTTGATGGCCGCAGCCAGGGCAGGGTAATTTTACAAGTGGGCCCACAAGGGGTCGAATCGGTCGCACTGAGGACGGGCTTTACAGTAGAGGTCCTGGCCACGGCCAGAGTCCAAAATGATAGATAACCCTGGTCAAATGAAGGCTAAGGTCTTGAGATAGAATCTAGACCTTGTTCTTGATAGAGGTAGGCTGTTTGCAAAGCTCTCAGTCCACTTAATAAGGCTAGATCTAGATCTAATGGTAATAAAACAATACAATATTTTCAAGCATGGCACCGATCTCAGTGGCCTAGTGGTAAGACATCCTTCTCGCGAATGGAAGTCGTGGGTTCAATTCCCGGTCAAGTCATACCTAAGACTTAAAAAACTGGCAATCTAGATCTAGTAGCTGTCCTGCCTGGCGTCGACATTATGGGACTAGTGGTATGAAGGGTTGGCCCGGTTTTAGTACACTGTGACTGTATGGGATAATAAGTTCTGCTACATTTCATATCCCAGTGTAACAGCAGGTTAACTTGCCTAAATGACCTACTGGTTTTAATTAGAGACGTTAAACGCCAATTAAAAAAACCAAAAAAAACTCAAGTATGGCATGGAATGAACACTAATCTATTAAAAAATGTGTTTTCCCAGGTCTCAAAATGAGCGGGAAACCGAAGGGGACAAAAGAAGCTTTAGACAATGTGTAACAAGCGGTCAGTGAAGGGATGGGGAGATGCCAAGTCAATCTGAGACTGAAAGATCCCTTCGTTCTTCCTACTTTGCAACGCAGGAGTAATGGCGTCAAAAGGAAGACATCGCTCGACAAGCTTCCATCGCTCATCAGTGGGCAAGAATTTATTGACTCTAATCAACATGGAGAGAAAGATCACAAGGAAAGCAGAGATGGAAATGAGAAAAGTGGACAGAGCCAAAATGGAAGAGGAGAAATGGAAGACGAGAAAAGAAAGAGAAAAACAGCGAGAGGAGCTAAACAAGCAAAGTGGAGAAAGAAAATAGAAAGAATAATAATAATAGATAGCATTTGTATAGCGCATATCCCCGCTCAACAGCAGGCTCTATGCAGTGGAGGACTGCATAGATGCAAGAAAAGAGGAGACTAGCTAAGGAGAATGGGACGAAGAATAAGAAGAAGCAAAAGTTAAAAGCAAAAGAAAAGAAGTCCAAAGTGAAAGGGAAAAAATCCAAGAGGAGGTTGAGCGATTCAGACTATGATACAAGTGCAGATTTCAATGAAAGTGAAATGATGCTGTTTGATGAAGATGACCTGCAGTAGGAAGATTTCATGGAAGAAGAATTTTCGACTGAGGAATCCATGTTTGCTGAAGTGGGGGTTGTGGAAGGATATGAAACTCCATAGAGATGACACATGCACAATGAAACGCTTGAACTTGATGAACGATCAAAAGTCGGACCACAGACAGAGAGAAATAGAAACAGTATTGCTGCTGACAATGAAGGCATAGGAAACAAAAGACAAGTGGTTGAAGCAGAAGAAACAGAAAGAGAAGACATCTTTGAGAGTGATGGAGATGGGAACAAAAGACCAGTGGTTGGAGTAGAAAGAGAACAATATACTATGCGTGAGGTGAATGAAGAAGAGGTGGAGGACTGCAACATGGTCAGAACTGGAAACAAAATGCCAGCATTGGCTGAAGCAGAAGGAAAGCCAGACACTGTGCACGAGAGTAGGGATTTACTTGGTCAACATGACGGTGGAGATCGTACCTTGTGGCAGATGTTCTCTCTGGTTACATAGAGATCGAGACCACAGATAAGGGACTTGTCCATTCTGCTCTTATCAAGAGTAGACATAGGTCTAGATCTACCATCCTTGCACTTTTTTGCATAGATCTACACCGTCATTGATTTCCATTTTGTTTGCATTCTCCGATCAAAAGTAGATTGAATACCGTTGTTGTATGTACCATTCTTTAATTTTGAAAGTCCCCGTTTGCATTCTACGTCATTGAATTCCATTTCATTTGCATGCTCTGATCAAGAGTCTGTTGAATCTCATTAAAGTTGAATGTAGGCCTACCATATTTCAAATTGCACCTTATGCGTTTGTCATTGATTTCCTTCATTGTTTGTCATGTTTTCTAGTGTTTGAAGCTTGTTTAAGGCCTGGTCGCATACGGGCATGGATTCGGCCGCACCTAGGTCGGGTGACTGCACCCACGGCAGCTGGCCGCCAAGTGGTACATTGAAGTTGTGCAGAAAACACCCACTGCACTCTATAATTGAAGTCTTTAAATTCCCAGCCAGGTCAGGGCCCTTCCTGAGGCTTTTTACTCCACGAAAATTAAGTTGGGAATCTCTTAGTCTTAGTACAGAAGCAGTTCTAGCTGGGAAGGGAATGTTCGCTTGTGGCTGCAAATGGTCAAGTTACTCTAAGTCCCATCTATCTGATATCTACCTCAAAATCTTGTTCCCCAGTGGATCTCCGCCCTCCTCTCTTCCTCCTTCGAAGGGGATTCCTGTCTGAAATCCACCTCTAGATCTCATTCCTTGGTGGATCTTTGCCTTCCTCTTTCCCCCCTCCATAGGGGGTTCCATCTTTGGCTTGGCCTTGTCACATTGTGGGCAAACAGCATTGACGAAAGACTATAGTTTGTTCATTATGCTTTGTTCGTTCCATGTTTCTGATTTACATAATAATGCACTTTCACATTTATGTCTATATGGTAATACGTAAGTAAAAGATTAAGACTTGAGCAAACAGAAGATGACTAAACAATACTCACTTCTGTAAAAGACAGGTGGACACTTTCACTGAACGTGGGGTCTGTTCTCGTCTCACTCAGTCTTAGCATGGTTCTCATCACCTCAGAAGCACGCTAAAAGAAAAATGAAAGGAATGGCAACCTCAGTTTTCTACACAACAAAGTGTTGGGATATATTGAAAAGAATCAAGTCACTTGTGAACAACTCTCATAGAATTTCAAACAAGAATCAGACTTTCTATAAGATCTTAATGTAAAAATTGAGCAGAAAAAAGAGGGGTTCAATATAATAGTCAAAAGAGACATTGCAGATCTACAAAGCAACAATGCATCCATGTGAAAAAGAGCTACGATCAATCTTGACATATGGCCACAATCACATACTATTGTGTGGTCAAAAATATGCAGTGCAACTTATCCTCAAATATCTCATTAATGGGTGAATCAATGGCACCCATACTACAGCAGTTTGTATCATTTTGTCTTAACGTAATATTTTTCCACAACAACTGGTGCTAAATAAAAAGTAATTTTTTCATCTAAAAAAAACTGGTGGTTCTGTGATTTTCCTTCCATCCTGGGGTAGGAGATAAAGCAGTGGCTGTAGGTGCAATGCCACAAACAAAAACCCAACTCCATCACAGAGAGATTGTAAGAAAAATGAATGGGTATGTTGGTGTCTGTTGTATTATATTGAGAATTTGTTTGAGGAGATAAAGAAGAGAAAGACGCTATTAAGAGCATAGTTGCTGTGTGTTGCTGAAATACAAAAATTATAATATAATAATAATAATACTAATAGTAATAATAATACCAATTGGAAGCTAGATTTCCCCCCCTCCTACCTGAGCAACCAAGTCCTCTCATCCGAGAGATGGGGGCAGGGAAAGGCATGGCAGATCCCAGAGGATAAATGCTGTCAACAAGCAAGACGCAAATGGTCTCTGCACCTTCTCCGCAGTCATAGGGCTCCCCGATAAGTGCATGCTTAATACATGTATGTAGCTGGGTATTCCCTACGTAAAGTCACATCCAGTACAGTGCTGACAATGAGACTCTGCTTTCCACCCCACCAATACCCGTCCCAACTCCAGGTCAAAGAAAGGTTGTCGATGGAGAGAGGAGAAAAGAAAAGTTAATAAATGTAATCAAGTAAAACAATAAAGACAATAAATAGAAAGAGTAAGAAACATAGTAAAGTAATATGTCTCTTTTCGGGGTCACCCCTTGACCCGTTAGCTTCCTCTTTTTCTTTTCCTATTCGAAGAGTACTAATTCCCCCCACCACGAAGAGGTGGGTCTATTTGGGGGGATAATTTTTTCATGAATTTACATAATGTACTATAAATCTCCATCACACGGAAAATGGGATTGTTCACACCACTTCCTGCTTCTCACACACATTTGGCATACAATATACAATACGCCACTGTTCACCAATGACACTCTTTAGTGACAAAACTTGTCACAAAAAAATTGATTTTGTAGTAAACACTTTTTTTGCACTGAAGGTTCTCAAAACAAGTGTTCAATAAGCATAGTGTTACGATAAGAAGAAAGGTCGGATTTACATTAAATAGCGATTTTGCTCCAGCTCATGGAATGGAAACCTTTTAAAATCTGCAAAAACCACTCATTTGTATTTTTTATCTGTACCGGTATTTATGAAGAAATTTTTTCAAATACGGTTAACAAGTGATTACAAAAACATTGACCTGTTAACTCACTGGAGACGTTTTCAAGTGCCAATATTTTCCCGAGAGGCAGTTCACGCACCCCCCTGCGAGCACAAGTTTTGCGTTTTTTTCCTCCGTAAAGTATACGTATACCCGCAAACGCTGCTTGAACCGTCTTTTACCCCGCAGCCGACCTTAGTTTCGTTTCGAGCGAAGTTTCACCGGAATTGGCTGGAAATTTTTTTCAGTTATCGACCCGGAAAGAAAGTTAATCACACTGAGGCCCTACTTTCGTTTCTCTGATTGGTGTCTGTTCTCACAACACTTTTTCAGTACGATGGCAGCACGTTTAGTTTTAGTAAGAGTTTTACTGCACTTGCAATACAATAAGGTCATATAAGTGCCAAAGATTAGGTGTTACAACAGAGTAACAAACACAAAAAAGAAGGAAAAGAGATCTGGACGAGGGATGCTTGATAGGAAAGAAGGAGCAAACCACACCAGAGCACTTGCCAACCACCCACTTGGCAGCACGAAATGCAAACATTTTTCAAGTGTTTGACGCAATTGACAGTTAGGACAATTCTGATTATGATATTTTAGACCATGGGGATCCTGCTTTCTCTCTAACCCTTAGACTGGATGTCAGTCGGGGCGCTTTTGAAGATTTGGCCACCAGCTTCCTCCACTCCTTCCGGTCTTCAGTTTTCCTGAGCGTGTCTTTGAGTTCCACACCTGTCCATTCCTTGATGTTGTCCTCCCAACTCTTCTTTGGTCTGCCTCTGCTCCTTTTTACCTGGACACTGCCTTGCAGGATCATCTTGGCAAGGCTGGATGAATGGGTGATGTTTCCATACCATTGCAATTTGAGTTTCCTGACCAGAGTGAGAAGATCAGCATATGGTTCAGTTTCATTTTTGATCAGTTGTTTGACTTCATCATTCATGATGTGATCTTTGTATGAGATACCAAGGATTTGTCGGAAGCATCTCCTCTTCACAGCTTTGATACTTCTTTCAAGGTCTGCATTCAAGGTCCAGGTTTCGCATGCATACAAAAATACTGACATGACCAGGGAACGCATTAGCCTGATCTTTGATCTGATGGTGATATTTCTGTCTTTCCAGATGGTTTTAAACTTGGTCATTGCTACTGAAGTTTGTGCTATTCTGGAGATTATTTCTGGTTTTGATCCTTCGTCTGTCACTATTGCACCCAAGTATTTGAAGCTGCATATGGTCTCAAGCCTCTGGTTGCTGACCTGGATGTCCACTGTGATGTTCTTGTTGCTGTTAGACATCAGTTTGGTCTTCTCAGTGCTGATTTCCAAGCTGTAGGCTGTGGAGGTCTTTTCAAGACGGTCTACTAAGCTCTTGTCTCACAAGGCCGTCTATGTCGTCTGCAAAACGTAAGTTATTTATCGTTCTGCCCCCAATACTGATTGTTCCTTCGTGATCTTCAAGTGTGTCTGTCACGATGTTGAAAACAGTGGGTGAGAGTGAGAGCAGACAACCCTGGTGTACTCCCACTGTTGTTCGTAACCATTCCCCAAAGTTATTGTTGAAAAATGCTGCGCTTGTAGCTTTGTTGTATAACTGATCCTGATTTCAATGTAAATGAGCATCAAAGCACTGATTCTGATAGGAGAATGTTCTAGATCTAAACTAGGCTTTCAAATGCAAAATTCCGTTTTGTCCGGGGCACTGTTTTTTTGTGGATTAGACAGCTAATACATGATGAGGAGTATCATATCGATTACCTGCCTATTTATGAGTTTGGACTTTTTATTCATTTTGAAACACAAAACACATTAAAAGACACACACAAGGTTGATTTTGTGTGTGTTTTGTTGGGTTTCTTTAACACAAGACATTACGTAAAAAATTTTTCTGGAGCAACAAATTTTAGCACATTTTCAAAAAATAATTCTAAAAGACTATAAAAGATATTGCTTTTATTTCTGATTTTTGTGTCCTGTTGGGCATGTTTAGATCTGTTCTGTGTGTAAAAATTGTGGTTGTATGTCTTTGGGAAGGGTATTGTTAGAATTATTGAAATACCCAAAAAATGCCAGTCTCCAGCACATGTAGACCCGAAAAAGGCCAAGCCTCCAGTGAGTTAGGACAAATTGATACAAGTCCTTGTGCAACAGTTGGAGAGTCTATGTTTGACAGTTGAGGAAATATTTGACAAGTTACACCATGAATTTTTGACTGCACTATAAGACACAAAAAGAGCACAATACCTGATCAATATTTCTTGAGACAGCTGCAATGATGGCTTGGTCCCTGAAGTGATGATGAAACTGGTGAAAATTTACACACCAGTATCCTGGCCCTGAGCTTGTGCCAGGTACTTCTTGGTCAGACGTCTGCACAAGGGGAAAAAAAATCTCCACTGGTGATGTTCACAAAAGATTGTAGAACAGAGAAACAAGGAAAAAATTGTTGATTCAGAGTCAAAAGCCAAAGCAAAAATCAATAACTTACTGACATTCTTCCAGTTAGGAATATATTGTTTAAGGCACACTTTCAAATTGTGATTTTGATGCTCGAAAGAAATACTCAACACAGTAGTAAATGCAAAGGGTTCATTCGTCTGCCGAACCTTGGACGGTTCACTTTAACTAATTAGTCCATAATACATCTCTACATTACTGTTTTATATCTCTGAAAATACATATTGTCAGCAGCAACTACAAAAATCTAATGCTTTATGCTTTTCCAAAGGCAGTAAAGTGTTCCAGTGTACCCCAACAGCAGCTCCAGATTCCAGTTTGATCCTCTTTGCAGGCCCCTGAGGACCAGCATCCTGTGGGCGCTTTGATCCAGTCGCAGGTCCTGAGTGGAATACAATAACAGCTGAATTAGAACAATATGCTTTGAGTCTGAGCACTTCAAAGACAGTAAAGATCATAGGCTACTTTTTTTACCGCAGAAAATAAAGGTTTATGTCCCCTAAAAAAAAACAACTCAACAGCAAAGTAAATGCACAATGATATTTCTTTTAAAGTAGAATCTACCGTTACAAAAACATTTTGCTTGCTAAATTTTTTTAATCCCCATTACGTATTTCAGCAAAATATTTTTTTCTGTGCTGTTCCTTATGCATCATGATTCTAAATATAACGAATTAATCTTCTGCAAAGCCCTTAACTAGCTCACATTGGTAGGGTGACATGGTTACAAATAATACTTAAATTTAAAAACTGGAATCCATGACATTTTCACATAACAAACCATGTTATACCTGAGTACTCAAGTATTCTTTATGCACAGCTATTACAAGAGGACATGAACATAACCCCCCAAGAAATCACTTTGTAAAATGCAATTTTATGATTTGATTTAGAAATAATTCTTACTGAAGTCTTCAGCAGTTGGTAGAGCAAACAGAGCATTGGGGTCCGTATGACTTTCCAGTGAAACCACCTTCTCATTTTCATCTTTCTTCACACCTTCACAGCGCCGAATAAGACGAGCTTTGACAAGAGTCACCACTTTTTCTTTAATCACATTATGTGAAATTTCTGGTAATGCTGGTGGAATGAGATATGAATAACAAATTTTAAGTGCATTAATCAAAATATTTGGAGCCATAAGGAGAGTGCATCATTTTCATAAGGAAATTGACTGACTTCGAACCTGCTGAATACTTGATTGCTTCTCCCCCCCCCCCCCATGGATATATAATAAATAAAACTTATAAACCTCAGCATTTTACAAGTGAAGCAAAATTAAGAACTAAACAAAAATGAATACCAAAGACATCATCATCATCCGGTGCCTTGCCGACTGGAGTGGGCGATCATGGACCTCCACTTCCATCTGTCTTTCGAAGCAGCAATGGTGTCTGTTGTTCTTGCTGCGCCCAGCCATGTTGTCATCTTGTCCAGTATCTTTTCCCTCTGTCTGCCTCCACCTCTCTTTCCATCAAACTTTCCTGTTGTTACAATGTTCTCTAATGCTTCTTTCCGCATTGTGTGTCCGAAAAAATTTGCCTGTCGTTTTCTTATATTCGTGATAAGTTGTTTTCTATAATTTGCTTCAACCAGGACTTCTTCATTTGTTTTTCTAGCTGTCCATGGGATACGTAGCATGCGTCTCATGAACCACAACTCTGCCGCAACAATTGTTCTTTCCAGCTGTTTATTGATTGTCCATGCTTCGCACCCGTATAATAATTATAATAGGATTGGCTCGATGTAACTTTTCATTACTCTTTTCCTCATTTCCAGTGACAGATTGATGTTTGTTAGTATCTGTTTCATCTTGTGGAAGGTTGCTTTTGCTTGGCAAATGCCGCTTTTAATTTCGATGTGACATCTACCATCTGATGACATAATGGTCCCCAAATATTTAAAATATTTAAATTATTAAATTTATTAAAACCGTGAATTAAAAAGCAATCTGCTTTGATAAAGGTCAAGTAGGCAAACAGTAATGTGTACACCAGTTATTACAAACACGTCTGCATTGGGTGGCAGTGAGAAACAAGTGTCATCTTAAAACATAAAGGTAGTGAATTGAAATTTGAATACATAATATGCTACATCGGACATAATTATTTAATACTGTTTCAATTGTGTTGGGGTGAGCACTTAAGATCTATTCATTAACCACACTATTATTTGACACAAATCAATCCACTGAGGTTCTGAGAAGCAGAGGAAATAAAAACAAAACAGTTTGCAAGAATATTCTTGAAACAAGGATCTTTCTTAAGAAATATGCATAAATCTCCTATAATGTACTTACATGCGCCACTTGATACAATGGAATCATTCAGTTTCTTTGTTGTCTTCATGACAGCAGTGTCCAGGTGAGACTGACCCTGGAGCAAAAGTTCCTCAACTAACAATTCGGCTGCGTCCCCATACAACATCTTTGCACAATGTATATAGCTAGGAAAACGGAGCCTCCACAAAACACTGTCTGGACTTGCTTCATACCCTGTGATTCCTGGTTTCAACGGACGAAATCTCACTATGTTCTGCTGGACCAGTGCACATAGTATACTTTTCACCTGAAATTACATACATAAACAATACGAGTCACGACGTGGTGGAATCAAGCGTTCGAACATTTTTGGGCATGTGGAGTTATTGTATCATCTTAAAACTAGTTCAATGGTATTGCTATAGGTGAAAAAAATGCCCATCTATCTTGAATAGAAGTCAAAATATTTGAGATTGAAAAAGGTGGAGTTGCCTGGTTTCAAACAAAGGTAGAATTAGCGAGAAAATGGCTGCCAAAGTCATTTTGTACCCCCGAGGTTGTATTCTTCACATTTTAGAATACTTCTAGTACGAAAATCTCTTTGAAACTTTCAGTATTTCTCAAAAAAACATTTTGACTGACAGCTATGCAAAGCGTACGGATCGGATTAACGAGTAAATTTCCTCTTTGGAAAGCGGTGGCACAGAGTTCCCCACGTCGTATGGATACGATTGTAAAAACAAGACGTACGGATAGCATTAAAATGTTGTACATAGCAGTTTTTTACAATTACTATAAAGGTATTGCTTTGATTTGTCGTCATCACCGGCATTTTCTCCATTATGACCATATAAATATATATAAAATTGTAATTAATAAATTTATATGATCAACTCCGACTCAATATTAATAAAAACTAAACTTGAAGTAAAACTGTATTGTATGTAATTGTGTATATTACATACAGTCGTCCAGTCGATTCTGCCTTAACGGAAACCTGTCATAACGGAATCTCCCCACTTCCCCCTTGATAAAACCCTCTATAATAATTAGCTCTTTAAAACGGAAACCTGCCTAATGCAGAAACGGTAAGAGACAGAAAATGCGTTGCCCACTCAGCCCTGATTTGAAACAAAACTATCCATCGGCTCTAACCTTCACACCATGCCGCCAGGCTAGGAAGGGGAGTAAGGGTGTGGTTTGGAGATTCATGATGTTATCTCATTCATCCCTTAGTGATGCAGATGGTTAGGGTGGTGTGGGTATGAAATCTTACCAGTGTATGTGAAAAGGCTCAGTGGCACTCCAGCATGAAAACTTTCATGGGTCACCAGAGGCCAGAGAGGTGTGAAATTAGATTGACCAAAGCCCACCGCCCTGATTGTACGGCCAGCCGAGAAAAGAGTTCCTCAAATTGCTGTTACATGCACATGGAGGGGCGGCGTTGATTGATTGTGTTTATTACACAAATGATTGGGGCTAAGGGTGGAAGCAAAGCAGATGTTCAAACGTTTCTGTTTTCATTAGGTCAAACAGTGGTTCTAAGAAATGCAAACACTGATGGCAATGGATAAGTAGGACAGACGCAGGCCATTATCAGAGAGGATAGCACTTGAGAGGTGTGTTTTGACCACTGATCGCGGACTGGACAAGCCATCCTTGATCCCACCAGCTGGGCCTCTGACCTGGCACGTGACCTCTGTGTATAGGCACAAATATAGATTAGATGACATATTTCCGTCATCTATTTTTGTCGTGTTCCGGGGTTTCCCCCAAGACTCTTCGGTTTCCCTCGCCACTAACTGTTGACTAGATCTCACCGTGTTTGCTTTTTTGTTTTATAAATTTTTTATTATCTTTTAAACCATCTCAGCAATTCTCGTCGGTCCATAAATTTACCTTCTCCTCAAAGCTGTACACACACACAGCCCAAGCAGTTGGCGATGAAACCTAAGTGACGTAGCCCATCGTGCAGTAAGTGGCAAAGCAGGCCCGCCAAAGTGAGATCTAGTCAACTGGCGAGGGAAGCCCCGGAAGACGACAAAAATAGTTGGCGGAAATACGTCAATATATGCCAAGCAGAGGTGTGCTAGGTGCTCGCTGTAATTGTAGTTTCACTTCATGTAAAAGTATCTTACTATAGGATAGGGTCCATCAAGTGGGAGGTACTTAAAAGAATTTGGGTCCCGTTAGGAACTGCAGTGGAAACCTGAACAGGGATGGTGGGACCAGAGAAAAAGTTCTGTTTTATCAGATCCCTGTTAAATCAGAAATGCAAGGGAAGTAAGCATTTGTGGACTAATCCAGCCTTATTTATTCATGGGTAGTTTTCCTTGCCACAAGTACCCACGAACAGGGGTTCTAGATCGTTGTCTGCAGCACACCGCAGCCCTTTCTTGTGGCCATGTGGCAGGCCTACGCATGGCACATTACATGTGCGTACAAGCCAGGTGCCCACTACGGATGGGATCGGCCGATGAGGCCGATCGCCCGACTTGGTCGCCTCAAAAACAAACGTGTTTGTTTTCAGTTTCAGGTGATCGAGTCGGGCAATCGGCCTGATCCAGCCGTAATGGGCACCCCATAGCTAAATTGAAGTCTGCAGCACACCGCAGCCCTCTCTCCCTTCATCGGCTGCATGTGATTGCAGTGGCGTGGCTTGCGTGGACTTACTCCATCACTGCGTTTCTCTCTTCTCTCTCTATTTCTTTCGCTTTTACTCTTACTTTTAACATATTGTTAACGAGCCTTTGTCCCTGCTATAACTGATTGGGCTCCGATGAGGCCCTGTCATTGCTGATACCTTTTAATAGAGAGACAAAGAGTAGGAAAAAAACGGGGATTTCAAAAATCCCTGTTACCGGATCCCTGTTATATTTCTACTGTAGTATTGACCCCACCAACGATTACTTATCTTTCTAAACGATTACTTTTTGATGTGCGTGCTGATATGGAGCCAGCCCAGCCTATCAAACGTAATTATTGTAAAACATCAATTTATGGTCAAATTCAGGGGGGCATGCCCCCCTGAAACCCCCCTTGCCTTGTTAAAAGGAAGTGGCTATTCTCATCCGGGGTGAGAATAGAAATACGATCGACCTCTCGCCCCGGGTGAGACTTGCGACCGTAGGCTATTCTCACCCGGTTTGAAACAAGACCTGTTTTTCCTAATTTCGGAATACTTTCTATCGATGTGGATGATCAAATGGATAAAGGCAAAGAAAAGATTACGTTATAGCACAAAAGTAAGCTAATTTTATCGACTACAGAGATGCTATGGCTATTTCACTTTTCGAATCGAGCCGAACAACGGGGGTCGCCATTTTGTTTTGCCCGAAAGTTCTCGCAAGATCTACTCCTCCCCTCTTCTCTCTCTCTTTCTGAATACTGTCTATCGGTGTGGACGATCAAATTGACCAAAACAAAGTTAAAAAATGATGTTAAAACACAAAAGTAAATTAATTTGGTTGTCTACAAAGATGCTACGGCTATTTAACTTTTCGAATCGTGCCGAACTACGCGGGTCGCCATTTTGTTTTGACCCGAAGTTCTCGCGCTACTCCTCTCTCTCTATCTTTTTCTCTCTCTCTCTCCACTGCCCACATACAAAATTGGGCGCTTTTTCGGTAGATCCCACCCCGCAATTATTATTCGCCGGTTTTGGCTCCAAGAGTAGGGGGGTTTCAGGGGGGCTTGGCCCCCTGACCGAACAAAAATATGGTTGGGGGGGGGGGGGGGGGGGGGGGTTTCAGGGGGGCATGCCCCCCTGAATTTTACCACAATTTAATGTTTTGCAGTTGTTAGGTTTGATATCTTAGCTTGCCGCAAATCAAACGTATAGAACTAGATCTAGATGTAGATCTAGGTCAGGCTCAAATAAGGGGGGTGGGAACTACAGAAAAAGCACCCAAAATTGTACGCTTTTAGTAGGCTACAGTTGTAATGGAACGTTTGTTCACGGCACAGAATTCTCTGATTTTTCTGTTATCACAGTGTAGAATTCTGTGGTTTAGGGTGAACGCAAAATTTGTTGGCCTAGATCTAGACTATAACGGTGAACGCGCACCGGGTGAGAATAGCCAAAAGACTCGCCTGCACTATACTATTCTCACCCCGGGTGAGAATAGAGGTGGCCTTGTTAAAAATAAAGTGAAATTTTACTGCTCCTTTTGTAGGCTAGATCTAGAACCACTGATAAAACATCGATACTGATTATTTAAACGTGTATCGATATCCAGTGGGCTACTTTATGTGGATGACGCCAAGTCTAACACAGACGGGATCCAGATTCTTAAGTTGAACCAAGTGATCCCCTCCTTTAGGACTTTAGGTCTCATTTTGGTTTCCCACCACCCTGATGAAAGCAGATAATTATGATATTACTGACTTTTGGACACTCGGATTCACTTGTTGACTAACCTGTTTCGTTTCCAGTGATGTTCGTTGTGTGATACTGTTCAAGGTGCTTCCTATATTTTTTAACAGAAATGTTCCAACTTGTGCCACCTGTTCACCATAATATTCTTTTAATAAAAGTTCGCACAGCTCCAAATGAACGCGCGACATGCTTCAAACTCTAACGCTTCTTCCGCACTTAAACCTGGCTGGCCGTGTCTAAATTTCAATCTCTTTCGTGTGACACTACCACGAAGGGTCTAATAAATCACACGGCAGGCAGCCACAAGCCACAACAAAAAGCACTTGAAACTAAACTGCTGAAACTGCCTCTGGAACGGAGAAATGGCAAATGAATACATTGTCTCATGATCTTTTTTTTAGAAATTTGTTCCTATATTTTATTCATTTAAAACATTGGTTTTGAGGGGTTAAAAAAAAGCTTTTGTTTTTCATAAGCTTTCCGTTTTCAGAGACATGATTTCTATGAAAGAAATTGATGTTCAATCCTTCTAATTTGGCTTTAGATCTAGACTGTAGTTGTGACAGTTCAAAATTCTGAGACATGGGAAATAACTCTCACAGAATTATAGGCCTAGCTGCCTAGCTGCCGACTGCCGAGTGCGAGTGCCTTGTGAGGTGTCCCCCCCTATACTACTATCATATTCATTGTTGACAGACATCGGTGTCTTGTAGGTAGATCTACGGGTTTCAATTTTCAGTGCATTAATATCAGTCTTCTGTTCATTTTGGTTCAACTTTCCTCATTAAAGTTTAGCCTGAAGGCTCTTATTTCTTAGTCTTACCCTGCTGGCTGGTTCTCGCATTATTGCACCATCACGCCAAATACAAGAAGTCACTCACTCAAACTCAAATCCATCATTCATAGATCTGTGCCTCAAACTCTGATTTGTCAGATGCCAAATTTAGATTCAGTTTGCGGCCTTGCCGTGTCAATGTCTGGCTGTTGAACTTGTTTGAGTGATTTTTCATGTGTTCTGTTTCTGTTACTGACTAAGTTAGTGTTAGTATATATTTCCAATCTGAAATGGTGGGCATGTTTAACTTAAACGTTATTATTACTTTTCTGATGGCCACTTCTGGTGAGAAAAGCGGTTGTAGGCTTCTCACCCGGGATGAGAGGGCGATCCTTTTGGCTATTCTCACCTGGTGTGTATTTTCCGTGATACCCATTGTTTGTAAACCACAGATTTCTAGATATCTAGATCTAGACTAGATCTACACTGTTCCAGCGCTCTCTTGTGTTGAAAGCGTGCCATTTTGACTGCGGGCATTGAGAGAGAGAGAGAGCAAGAGAAGGAGTAGCTTAGATCTAGATCTAGCGAGAACTTCCGGGCAAAAAAAAATGGTGACCAGAGTAGTTCCGCTCAATTTGAAAAGTGAAATAGGCCTAGATCTAAATTTAGATCTACCCGTAGCATCTTTGTAGACTGCCAAATTAGTGTAATAAACTTTTGTGCTGTAACATCATTTTTTTCTTTGTTTTTATCAATTTGATCTTCCACACCGATAGATAGTATTCAGATTTTAGAAAAAACAGGTCTTGTTTCAAAACCAGGTGAGAATAGCCAAAGCTGGTAAGTCTCACCTGGGGTTAGGGGTCAATCGTATTTTCATTCTCACCCGGAGTGAGATGAGAATAGCTACTTCCTTTTCTGATTTTCACAAAATAACTCTTATCATATGACTATGATACTAGATATTTTAGTACAGTAGTCTCCGCCTTAGATCCCGGTGCTCGGAAGCAAGGAAATGCGGGATCTTAGGGGAACCGGGATCTTAACCGACGTACCCTGGGAAGAATCTATGGTGACCCCTCTTAAGGCTCACAATCGGTAAAATGGTGTCCCTTCACTCTTTAAAATGAACTGACGTGCCCCCTGGGTGGGTATATGACATAAATGGCGAGCAAAGAGTGGTTAACCTTGATGACCTATCTCACAGTGCATAGTGGCATGAGGCGTGCCATTTTCACTTATTATCCTATCGTGAGTCCACTTGCTTATATCCAGTTGCCCCTCCTCTTTACCTGTCGAGAATTAAAAGCTTTCCTTCTCTGACCAAGTTCCCCTGCCTTTATCGTTACGCACCACTATGTTGTGACCACACTAATTAAAATTCAGTCTGTCTCGCAAATTCGGAAGTAGAGACAACTGCTGCAATGGTTAGGGAAGAGATCCCGTCTGGAGCGAAGTGATGTAAGTTTAGGGGAGAGCTCAGATGTGAGTGCGATGTTTAGGGAAAACAAACGTGTCGGTCAGTTCACACCTCGGTGTGATCCCGTCTTGGGCAAACATTGCAACGCTTCGTCAAGTTTTTCAACGCATGTGTATGTGATCACATTCACAGGAGTGGCTGATCTTTGACGCTGCAGGCAGTTAATTGATCTCAACTTTGTACTCTTGGTTGATTTGCTGTGCTCGCTCAGGTTTTCGTTCTGCAAATTATGATATGAAATGAGGGATCTTAGTCGAATGTAGACCTTCAGAATGAATCAGAGCAGGATGTTAGGGGTGACTTTTGGATTGTGAAAATTATGTTCTTAAAACAGCGGGATCTTAAACGAACCAGGATCATAAGCGGTGGGATCTTAGGCGGAGACTACTGCACTAATACACATAAATACGGGCCAATGTCTGCTAACTTGAAACTGCATATATAATACTTAAGGTATGCATTTTTTTCAGAACTACATTCTATTTGTTTTGGCCCTTTTTTAAAAGTACATTTTATAATCTAGGATACAGACTCGCATCATAGTCATAGTGGCCTTTGTCTTTGTGTGTATGTGTGTGTGTGTTTGTGTGTGTGTGTGTGTGTGTGTTACTGAATCTAAACTTATTCTATAAATTTTTGTCATTTTTATTTCCTTTCCGTTAAATGTATTCATTTTCAGTAATTGATACTTCGGTGAAAAAAAAAGTGTACAAAATATCCATTTATAGTAAACATAGTTTGTCATTATAACAACTAATGAAGAGTGGGAAAAGGATATAAAATCTTACTGGACCGTTCTAATTTCACTACAGTCAATTATTCATATTCAGAACAATGAGATTAAAGAAAACCAAATATTATTTGTCTCAGCAGGACTCTCGGTTGAGTTATCAAAAACTGCTGTTTAAAGAACCAAATGCCTGAAAAAAACAACCTGACATTGAATATGATTTTACAAATATAGCAATTTCTGAATTTGTTAATTTAATTATTTATCATTCTTTTAACATGGTATTTGGAAAAACTTTTGGTGCCTTTTCTTCCAGAAGGACTGGCAGCTGTGGAGAAGGAAAATGCCGTCCAAGAATGAGAAATTTTACGTGTCTGTACTCGCAATGATAGGTGCTGGAGGTAAGGTGTTATGCAAGTACCCTGTTTTCTTATTTTCTCCGGTAGTGATATTTAAAAGTTAATTTTGGTACTGTGGAACTCGGATTTAATGAGGTCGCAGGGACTGACCTAAAATCTTGTTGAATCTGAGTGTTCGTCAGTTACGGTTTATGGTCTTACTTGCAAAAGTGTATATATTGATAAGAATTTTAAAACTACTGGGAAGAAAAACCACTGGTTGGATGATGGGTCTCCATGGTTGGTCTTTCTCTTTCCATCTTTTCCCTATTCTCTGTGTTGTATGATGAATTATATATACAACATGTATATTGATTTTTGTCTTTTTCAGTGGATGAAGTTGGTCAGTCTTCTGATGACACAGTAGTTATTAACGGGTGCTGACCATATTATCGACTCTGTTTAAAGATTCTCCAAACTGACTCATTCAATCATAACACAACAGGTTAATACTATTATATATTAATGAAAGGCATTAAAAAAGCCAATTTTGTTTGCATGCGTGAATGACTACTTTGAATTAATAATGAGATTGTTTTCACTGTCACCAAGGTTTATAATTATAGCGATGTTTTCTTGTTCCTTTTCTTTAGCTTCTATGTTGGCCGTGTGGTCATTATGGAAGTCATTCAGGAGAAAACAGGAAAAGAGCAAGACCTACATCAAAAGCAAGGCTGTTCATGTCATAGACACACCACAACAGTGGGATGCTCTGTATCCTCAACTTGTAGAGCAGTTATCCAGACAGAAGGTTGGTTATCTGACTGGTTGGTTAATCATAAACTGAAGTTCGTAATCTTTTTATGAGGAAAGAAACATTTATGGGTATAGCATAAAAATAAAAGTTGTTTTTTATTCTAAGCTGAATTTTGGAGTTTTCATTTGAGATAGGATATTTCAATGTTAATTTCTATTAACTTATTTTCTTTTCTTTTTAATGAATCTGTATTTTTAATTCTTTATTTCTTTGTTTGTAGAGATGCTATTAATTTATGGGCTTGTTTTTTTTTGTTCTTGATCATAAGATGGTGACAAAGTTATTTAGCAGCAGTGCACGGAAAGTTATATTTCTACCTACATGACTGTCCGATGCTCCTAAAACCATTTCATAAACAATTATACTTTTTAATTCAAATGATTTAAAGTTTTCATGAAATACCAGTTCTTATTCTTCCGAAGGCTTTCACAAATTATATAACTTTTTCTCTTTCCAGTTGTCTTTGCTGTTTTTTTTCCACCAAATTCCTTGATTTTACAATTTATGAAAACCTATCTGACTTGAGATTATGTTATCACAATAAAATTTCCCTGCATGAAAAGTTAGATGATTGGCTCTTTGAAACTTACTCTTTCTACATGAAATAAAATCGCTCATATTTAAAATGTTGCTAGGAAATATAAATGTAACCCGTTGTTACATCTTGTTTGTTTTACGTTTATGCCTTTGTCTTTATTCTAACACAGTATTATTGGAACAAATTGGATTAGATCTTAATCTTGCTTTTGTGTTATTTCTCTTAATAATTTCTTTGCTTTATGTCATCCAATTATCACACAGGTTCTTGGACTGGACTGTGAATGGGTATTGAAAAAGAAAGTTGCTCTTCTTCAGCTGGCTACAACACAGGGACTATGTGTCCTTGTGCGTCTATTTAAGTTTGATCCTGTTATGCCACAGACACTGGTCAGTTTACTCTCAGACAAAAGGTTTGTTTGTGTGTTTTCAAAAGTTGCTTCTCTCCAGCTGGCTTTTGTGTTTATTAGATGCACAATATAACTGTCGTTATAGAAGATCAGGAATATCTCATGTTGACAAATATGTTTGAAACATCTGTAACTCTGTCAAACCATGATAACCAAAAATAAGAGAAGTATTGAAGAAAACCAAAGAAAGTAACTGTGACAGACAATAATACCTGGTATGTATAGACGGATGGATAGTGTATTGGGCCTTGTTCAGTGTGGAAGCAAGAGAAAGGAAGAGAATGATGCTGATGAGCCTTATCCTTGTAACTGAAAAAATGGTTCTTTTGAAAAAGATCACAATGATGTAACCAACACTCATCACAGTACCCTGTCGAACCTTCTTATGTAATCACTTCCAGATCCATACCTTCATGTTCAAACAACCACACACTCACATGCACATGTACACAAACATAAATATAATTCACACACTTATGGCCCAGTGCAGCGCTCCTCTGTCTTCAATCACAACTGAGCACTCAACACCCACCTTCACACTCACCTAACTAGATTCAAGGAAGTTCCTGTGCCTTACAACTTACACTAGGCCCACAGATAATGAGTGACAATGCATCTCGATACCAGCAGTGTGTGTATCATGCTGTGTGTAGGAGATCCTGATGGGCTTGTGTAACCTGTTACTCTCGATGATAAAAGGTGTGTTTGTTTTCTGTCTTGCATGCAGGGCGATTTGAATTCAAGACAACTGTGAGGAAAATTTTGATGAGGCTTTTCAAGATGAGCCGTTTGACTCATCCCTGAGCAGGTGTTTGAGAAAACAGTGCTGTCAGTACAAAGGAAATATATTGGTTCAGTCAGGGAATGGCATATTATTCGAGCTATTTGTGAATTCAAGTTTTGTGTGTTCAAGTTTTCTATGCTAAACTGTATTATCAAAATACTGAAAGTTCTGCTTTTTGATGTCAGGATATAAGTGGTGATAGTGATATGCATGACTGTAAATGGAATCTATATTTTGAAGTTATCGTTTTCAGTATCTTAGAAAGTGTATAACCAAAAAAGGATATAATTATAATATATATGGTGCATAATTAGTCCATTGAATCACAAAAATTAACATTAAGTACGGTTTTCAAAAATTTGTATTCTCAGTATCATTAAAGTTGGTGTGGCTGTGAATGAGGATGGGAAGAAGCTCCTTCAAGATTATGGGTTGAGAGTTTGCGGCTGTGTGGATCTGAGGCATATGTTGAAGCGAGTCAGGGGAGTGTACACTTGGTAAGTTTTCCTTTGTATAAACTCTGTTTGGCTCTTTATTCATTGAAAATTGTTCAACTTTATGTTTCAGAAGGTGTCCACTGTTGCCAATGTTGACTCTTAGGGTAGCTAACTTCTAGGTCTTTTGTTTCTGGCCAGTGTCTGTGATCTTTCACTTGGGGACAAATGTAAATGAATCTTCAGAATCTTCATAAAACTTGATCCCTCTCAGTCTTTCCCATGCTAAAATCTGTTCAACTCTTGAGTTTCTATGACCCTTTTCAATTTCAGAAATTTACAACACTGGTGAAGTAGAGAAAAATGTTAAAGATACATCATAGAGGAATAAAGTGTCTATATGATAACAATAGTTATGACCTTGGTTTAAGTGATAATTTCTGTTCTAGAGATATTGATATAAACATTTTAACAGCCGGTTTATGGAATTCAAGGATGGCTCCAGGGACAAGTGGCAATGTTGTTTGGCGTTCTTTACGAATGCAGTGTTGCCAATATAAAATGGCTGAATTGAAGCAACACTCCTTCCCTACCCTCTGGAGTCCTCCCCCCCCCCCTCCCCTTCTGAAACAACTGCACACAATGAAAAAATAATCATAAATGAGAGGGTCTGCAGTCCTGGTTACAGTATGAGATATGAAAATGAAAGAGCAGTACAGTCCAATTCACCTGTGGTCCAACTTGTACTGTTTACATAGTTGATGTATGAAGGTATCAGGACTTGCCACTTCTTTACCCTTGGTCTTATATATGTGGCTTTTTAATATGCTTTTTTTTTTCATTGTTGCAGCACTTCTAAAGGTCTCAAAGGTTTGGCTAAGGGAATTCTAGATCTGGACATAAGCAAAGACCCCCATGTACGTTGTGGGAATTGGGAAGCTGAGGAGTACTCTGAGTTACAGGTGAGGAGTAGTATGAAAAATGGACCATTTTAGAAAGATATACAGATTTTTATATGTATGTTTGGAATATTGAACTACAAAATGGAATAGTTGTGGCAAGAATAGTCTTATACCAAAATATAACAAAAGTATCCGACAAGATGAGAAAGTGGCTGATAATTTTCTTTGGTTGATTCACTAGAACTGAGAAAATTGAACAGCTTCTCACTGCAAGAAAGCTGAAAGGAGAGTGGCAGCAGGATGTAAATTGAGGAGGTATTGGACAAATGAAATCATTCCGTAATAACCATTGAAAGTAGAAGGTCTACTGATGACTGCAAATACATGGTTTATACCTTGGCTTATAAGTTTCATTGCTGTGCAGCTCAACATCATACTAAATAATGTAGTCTGGCAATTTTATGCTACATTACTTTATATACTTTTTTGTTGCACTACCTTTTGTTATATTTTTCAAATGTCTTATCTATTTTTCCAACTTAAATCACTTAAAATGATATTCTTTTCCTTTGTCTTATATCACTGTTTCCTCTTTTCCAAGGGTCCAGGGTTCATACTACATTTTGCAAATCAAATTGCTTGTTGTTTTTTTTAGATACAATTTGAAGTATAATGTAGGCTACATTTTTTAGCTGAAACTTAAATGAAATTTAGATTTACCCCTGTGCCAGTGAGCCACTGAAAGCAGCTCAGGAGCATTCCTTTACAAAGACTTCGACATCGAATTACCTTTTGGCAATTGCCAAAAACAGGTCTCTTTTATCGGGAGTTCATTCATTAGATGAAGAAATATCAAAATAGGTTCAGTTGTTTTGATTTAATCACCCATTTAGTGATGTTTTTGTCATTTTTAGATTTAGTATCAAAGAAGGGGCCTGGCATAGTGGGTTTACCCCCTACGTAGATTAAGAGATAAAGATTGAATTCAACACTCTTGAGATGAAATATAACTTATAGATAATGTTTATAGTTTATGATATATCTACCAAAATTAGGCAGACTGACAATGTGATTTCAATGATTTTCAGAGAGATTATGCTGCCACAGATGCTGCAGTAGCCGTGGATATTTTTCTTCAACTTGTCTACACCAAGCTACAAATGACAGAAGCTGCTTCTCTTGAAGGACAGTCAGGAAAAACAGAGTCCAAGAATAAGCTGGATGAATCTGTTGTGTCGATCGTTATACCAAAAGAAGTATCAGACTCTTTGCTAGAAAGTGGAATGGATAAAAGGATTACTGCTGATGAAAGTGAAACTGATAGTGGACTTCGTCCACACACAGGAGTGGAAGATTCTCAGAATTCTATTGCAGATGATTTAACAGCTACATCATTGCAGAATGACAAGCTTTATGTTATAAACAGGAATTCATCAGCTGAGAATGCTGACATGGAGGGAGAGATGTCTGCTGCTCATTTAGATATGTTGTGGAAAACTGGTAGATCGATGTGTCAAGGACTTGTGGATGTTCCCTTCATTTCTAACACAAAGGGTGGTGGACTGGTCAGTGCTGTTTTTGTTTGTTGTTTTGTAAACATCTTCTTGCTATCATTTCAAAAAACTCCATTCTTTAAAATAGTTGAAGGTTTTATTTTCAGTTCTCAGAAAAATCCCAGTTGTTTGTTACTATAGTCAAATTATTTTGGTCTGTTTTTTATGTGTGTTGTTTAGTTATTCATTTTTAATTTTTTTTAAAATTCCAGTTCTTGGTTCTTTTTTAAATAATACCCCAAATTAAACATCTTTTCTTTGTTTATCTGTTTCACAAATTATTGAATATAATCCATTTTATACTTAATAGCCGGTGAGTAAACCAAAGGGGAATCAAAAAGCTGGGCCTGTGCCTGCCTACAGCATGAGGAGACGACCGCTATGGGACAACTGTAGACTCCTGGCCCCAGATGACACGCCCCTGTGTACTTGTGATGTCAAGAAAGCTCAGTGGTATCTTGATAAAGAACTTGGAGGTATGGAAAAGTGCTTTAAGCTTTAATCGATTTTTTTTGTCTGGCCAGGTTTGTGAAGAAAAAAAAAGCAGTACATTGAAATAAATTTTCATCTCAAGTGCGAATGTTTTGGGACAGGAAAGAAAAAAACTCATTATGGTATCATAAAGAAAAGCTTTTAAAAACAGAGTGTCTTTGCTGCAGCTAATCCTCGATATGGCATGTATAAAGAGAGTTTTTTAAAGTTGGAAACAAAATGTATTCTTTATGTGTATCTTGTCGAAATGACATTAGTGCTTCTTGTAGTGCCTCAACTATTTATACATTCTGAATAAGTAATAAGTGGTAAATAGTATAGGCCTACTTCTGAGCTCCACTTTTATAGGTTGACTTTTATAAAAATGCGTACTGTTTTGTATAAAAAAAAGCAGTATATTTATCTTGTAACGATGCCAAATATTATTTTGTTTGTGGATTGACTGAGATTATTTGGTCTGCCTGGACTGTCTGAGTCTTTTACATTTTCCTCTCCTGATGGCTATATATTTCATTTGCTTTTTAGTGTTATTGATTTGTTAGGCTCTCCATTTATTGTTCTTTTTTAGTAAATGTTTAACAAAAATGTTGTCTTTATCTTTTATAGACAAAATATGTGATGATCCCTTGACCGTGCGCCTTCGCTTTGAGCCTGCTAATCGTCCAGACACTGAGAGAAACTACTATCTCCAGGTGAAGGAAAACCTGTGTGTTGTGTGTGGCCATGACCAGGATTATGTCCGCAAGTTTATCATTCCCTATGAATATAGAAAGTAAGTATTCCCTTCACATTTAGTAATATTTAGTAATAGTATTCCATAGTACAGGTTGGGGCTGGTCAACTTTTTTTGTGGAAATTTTAGAAGTTCCAGAAACAAGGGATATTAGAAGCTTTTTATTTATTCCCTGTTTTCTTGCTCTAGCCGACCCTTTAGTTACTTGGTGTTCTCTGTCTTCATTTATTAATTCTTTCTGTTCTAACATAAGGAAGATTATTGCTTCTTTAGTTGTTATTAATAGAATAATGTCTTGTCATTCATTTGTTTCAAATTTATTGATATGCAAATGAGTAAAACGAAAAAGTTTCTGTCATTTTACCTTTTTACCTTTATCAAGTCTCATAAATGGTTGTGGAGTGTGAGTATGATGTTGAGAGAACAATGAAAAAAATTTAATGGCAACTGGAAATTTGTATCCCAGGAGATTGACTCATCGCAAGTTGTTCATTTATCTCTACATATATTATATTTGTGAAAGTCCGTCACTTTGGCCGCCTAAAACTTCCGAACCACTTAACTTTTGAATTTGACAAAACTAATGGTGGTTCAGAATCATTTAAAGGGTGCACAGTTTTATTGAGGAGCCTGAAGTCAATGTAGTTTAATTTTCAGTTTTTCATTAGTTTCGTTTAGATCTTATCTTGGGAAAGTCCGTCTTCTAAGACGCCATTGTAAACAAGTGAGTTTTCCGTTCACTACCCGTGCGCACTCATGAGTCCACACCTTTGAAATTCTGGAGTGTACAACCACGAAAGTGGATTAGAGAATCAATCTATACATACATATTGGGCAACTTTGAAACACATGTATCACTTTTCTCTTAAGATTTACCTCTCCACTCCATCAAGTAGAGTGTAAATATAGTAGGCCAATGACTTTCAGTTGATGTAAATGCAACGATCATTCCTTTCATCGAAAGGAGGCCCAGCTAGTTTTTTCATATTTAACAGTGGACTAATGGGGGTGAATTTCTTGGCACAGGTATTTCCCAAATGCTCTGAAGGACCATAGCTCTCATGATGTGTTGTTGCTGTGCACACCCTGCCATAGGCGGAGCTGCGATTTCGATTCCGCCCTACGACTTCAATTGGCTCAGGAGTGCCAGGCCCCAGTGGAAGCTGGCGCCACCGCGAAGACTGTTTTAGACCATGATTTACAGAAAATTCGCTCTGCTGGCAGGTGGGTGTTTCTTGGAGGATGTAAACCTCCACTGGGCTAAGTTAAAAATTAAGTGGAAACTCAGTTTTGCTTAATAACTTTTAAAATTTTAATTCTTGGAAGAACTGGAAATGGAAAAGACATGATCACCAACACAAATGTCTGGAATGATCAAATGCTCATGCAAACTAAAGTGATCAAGCGTGCCACGTATAGAGTGAGAGAATACCCAAACAGCCTTCGCCTTCATTGTAGTGACTTAAAAAATGAAGGAAGGAAATAATATTGACCTTTTGTAAGGTACTAATATGCCTTCAAATGGGACATGACGTCAGTGTTATGACATGGGAACAAATGACTGATGTTCAAAGTTAAGGCCAGTCTCAGGGTGAAAGAGAAAGACATAGCAGTGAAATGATAATGATATGCAGCACCTTAAGAAACTCATGATGCCCAGAGTGTGGAACAAATGCCATTATCCCAGGACATAAGAATGTATTCACTCATTGATCCCAGAACGGATTTCCAGTTTGACGAAATTGATTTTTATAGCAACATGACTTGGCCATTTTTGCAACATGGTCTTCGACTCAAGAAAAAGAATGGACATTAATAATATAAGATGAAAAAGTGTAGCTTCTCTCAGAGAAGCTTTGTGGAAAGTTTTATTGGCCTTTATAGCTGTTTAGATGAAAAACTCCTTATAATTGTTTACCCATGTGCATCATTATAACTGCTGAGAGCGGTTGCTTGTCATTCTGGATAGAAGTTTTGACCGCAGGGAGTGGCTACATGGGTTTCACTCTATCTGTACGCCCTGTGGTCGTTTTGTACCCGTGGGGTTGTATTCTTCACATTTTAGTTTGAAACTTTCAGTATTTCTAAAAAAATCACTTCCTCTTTGAAAATGGTGGCACAGAGTTCCCCATGTCATATGGATACGATAGTAGTAAAACACGACGTATGGATAGGGTTAATGAGCTAAGATATAGACCAATACAGTCTAAACACTATCATCTGTAGTGATGGAACATTGCCTGCAGCTACTACAAGTGCAGATTCAATTTGTATGACAGTATTGAAAGGTTCTTTTGTGTATTTATGCCTTCATTATTTGAAATACGGAGCAACTGGTATGTGTAAGTCAAGTAACAGAATCAGTGAAACATTCTTTGTTTACAGATGATAGTTGGAAAAAGACACGTTTCTTGTATAATTTCAGTGTTTTCCTTGTTGGCAGGTTTTTTTTGGTGGGTTTTTTGTTGTTGTTTGTTTTTAGGTTTTTTTTTGTTTTTTTTTCAGTACAACTCTTTTGGTTGAATTTTTGCACTTGTAGGCCCTACTTGTATATTTACTTAACATATTTGCCATTGCTTACTTGGGGATTGTGAAATGCAGCTTTGATAATTTGTGTTGTTGTTTGTTTGTTTTTTTGGTAGTTAAAAACATTTTAAAGAAATAATAGTGTCTTCAGTTTATTCTTTTTTTTAAATGACACATATATGGTAGTTTCGTATTTGAACAAGATTTCTCTTCCAACCTGTACGTTGCTTCTTTACTCAGAGCTCTGATGTTGAACAAAAGTTCCATTCCTGAGGCAAGAGTGACTGAGCTAGAGAAAGTTCTTAAGGACTTCTATGGAGTGGAGTCGGTGCCGGAGGAACTCATTAAGCAAGCATCAGACATAGATGCAAGGTATTGCTCACCCATGCTCTGCTTTGCTAACTAGTTGGCAATAAGAGAATGTGTGCTGTTTTCACTTAATTCATAAACAATTTTCACTTATTTATTCATTACCATCCTACAGTATTGCTGCTATGTCATTTTTTTCCTTGAAGAGATGGATGTGTATATAATGGTTTTGAAGTTCTTGGAAAAACCAAGGTGATAGGAAGGAAGAACAAAGGGACAGGAAACAAGTTAAGCTAATGAGCAGCTGACATTCTTCTTTGCTGAAAAAGTAATCTAAAAACATATAAAGTGTCCCAGCACTGTCTTTATGTGGGTCATGTCCCAATTGTGAAGAAGTCGTTGGGCTACAGTTTGTCTGTAATGTAAAGAAATAGTTTGAGGTTTTTTTCCACAGATAAGCCCTATAAAATGTGAAACTAATACATATGCATGTAGTCACATAGCAGAGAAATGAAATGTGATGCAGCTTACAAAAATATGTCTTTTGTTGTGCACATGGCGCCATAATTTCCTGAAGGTTTAATTTTGGTTTTGATAGTTTTTTTCCCCTTTCATAGTTTGAACAAATTATATGCTTTTCATTTCTCATAATCTAGATTGAATGTTTTATGTTTAATCCTATGTGGCTTGCATCTTTCTTTTTTCTGTCCTTTGTTGTTTGATCTAGTGTCCTAATGACTAATAGCAAAAAGGGGCTGTTATTGTGCTTACTGGTGATGAACTTCAATTTTTTTTTTAATTAACAGAATTAAATTTTTTTTATTTTGGGGGTTATACTGCAAAAATAAAATTGGAATCAGCGGGGTATTTTTTTGTGTATTTTAGAGTTTTGTTTTAGTCGATTTCACATTCTTTACAAGGTAGGCTAGGTACAAAATTTGTATTCGATTTCAAGCCCAGTATTCCGGTATTTTTATATCACTCGTTCGTTTTTTGTCCTCACCAGACAAATAGCTGAAGGCTATATTCCTCACGGCAAGCTTGTAGTGAGGCACATGGCTAGGAATGGAGGACTGCTGGCCTTTCAAGCCAGATGGAGACAACATTTCATTGACATGATGAACCCGCAATATCTACCAGCATTTTGGTCCGTGGACTTCGTTCCAGATGGATGGGGGCAGCGGCAGTCTCTATCTTAATGCATCCAGTGACACTGCCACTTCAGCTTTTGACCCATTGAGAGAAGAATTTGTACAAACTGTGATAGTCGATAACTTGACAAAGATTTTGATGATCGCATTGTAATAGTTACTGTAAAGTTAAAATAATGCTGTCCAGGTGTATTTTGTGAAAAATATTTTGTTTTATAAAGAAGTTTACAAGGATTATCCTTGATGCTGTTCATGTTGTCCAACTTTGTGTGGATTGCGTTATCATGCATCCCTTTCTGCCATGTTCAGTAACTTTTTTGGCTGCTCATTTTATGTATGATCTTGCTGATGTTCAAGTAGATGTTTTTTTCATTACATTTTTATACTAATGCCAGTGACAGATAGATAAGGGAAATAATTCAGATAACAATTTCCTTCCAAAGTTATATGGACTACTTCTCTTTGACCCCAAAATTGTTTTCTGTGTTTTGTTATCTTTTTAGGTTTTTCTTTTTTTTTTTTGGTCATTGTTGCTTTTCATGTTTGCAAATTTTCTATTTGTGTCTTTATCTCTTCAAAGATAGTTTACTATGAATTCAATGAATACAGATGACAATGTAGTCTAAGCAATGGAAGTGCACCGTGTTTGCTACTAAACCATTTAAATGATTGCCTGGGTTTCCTGAAATCCTGGAAAAGGGAGATAGTCCTCTAAAAATAGCAAACATAAATTTTTTAAAAGATTCATTAAAAAAAAATCCTTTACAAAATAATCAGGGAAAAAACACAACCAAGGAAAAGGATACTGCTTCTAACGAGCCAGCTGCGGTCTGTATGGGCAAGCTATTTATTTCTCCCGTTATAGCTGTGACTGTGGGGTTTTCATTCTTTACCCATCTATTTCGTCAAATCAAAAAATAACCAAATCATCTTGTGACTTGAAAATATGATATTACAACAGACCAAAAAATGAAATGTTAACATCTTTTTGTTTGGTCGAGATCGCTTTACAGGCTGAATTTTTATGTGTTTTTAAAGTTTCAACTCCATCGCATCCTCCATTTCATCATATTCATTTTTTAAAAATCACACATAGGGCCTACTATACACTATTTCTAGGTCAATTTCGACTATTCGAAAACTCAAAGAACGAAGTACAATTCTACTTTCTCATCATAACCTCATTTTCAGTTAATTCTAATTGGACATTCTTCCTAGACCTTGTAGAAATGCATACCATGGCAATGTCATGTGTTTGGCGTTTGAAACACCCCACAATGCCACTCTAGGTTCGGATCAATAGACTCTAAAGGTCTTGTGATAAATTCCTGCATGTAGTCGAATGATGCGTCTGATGTGATATGTACAATATTGTCAGTTTTACTTTTCTTTTCATACTGAATTTTGATGAAAATAAAATACCAATTTGATTTCTATGTATACCTGCATGTGTTTTTACGGTCCTGTTCAGCCAAGAAAAATTTCCCTCTGGGATAATAAAGTATTATCTTGTCTTCGTGGCGCGCTGCTCTAGGTGTTAAATTCACCCCCAGGGTAGTAAGAGTTATTTTAGTTTTATGTGTATTTGGTTCATGGCTTGTATGTAATACTAATTCATAACTACTCTCGTTGTTGGAGACAAAAATTGTGACCAAAATCTTTATTCAGGGAATCTGTGGCTTTGCCTTGCCCATGTTTGATTTTGACATACCTGACTAGTTTTATTCAAGAAAGAATATGATCTTAATGATTTGAAACTGTCTGTGTTACTCAATTGTTGTGAGTTCCTTGACGGGCTTCCTCATTCCACTTGCTCAGTATTCTATTGGTGGTTGTGGGGTGTGGTGCTCTCTGAGGGTGAAAGTTCATGTTAGTATATTGTCAAATCCCATGTCCTCTTTTGTTAAGATTACCCCAGTGTTTGTAGAGGCTGCAACTGAATGTGTAAGTTACAGATTTAACCAAAACACAGAGTCTATGAGGGACTCTATTGACAGATTGGTCAAATAGTATTTCTCATTGTTGCAGTGGGTGGTTACTGGTTTTAATGTGATTTTCCTTCACAGTCTTCAGTTAACCTCACACTCATAGCTGCTGAAACTTGTGCCACATTTTATTGCTCTTGCCTGTTGTTTTTATTGATTTGTAATCCAGTGTGACAGCTATCTGCTGTGAGTGAATAGGTAGGAAAATACAATGGGTCAGGAATGTTGAACTTGTTTGCTCTTTTCGAATGTGGAAAAAATAATATTCCCCTTTTATTACCATATGTGTATAATATGATATGACTTGAAATATTTATTGCTGTGATAATATTTCGTTTTCCCATTAAGCTTTGTGTCCTACTGAACACAAATAGGTTTTTTGAAAAGTGGACTCATTGCTTCTCTTTTAGATAGCTGACCTTCAATGAATATATTGTTGGGAAAGAGAGCTGTACTGAGGGATCAGAAAGTACTGAAAAACGATGCCGCTGCTGTTCCAGAATGGTTTTGGCACTTACAGTACAAAGTCTTCGTTTAATGTCAGTGGCTTGATGCAATAATCAGTCAGATTCAATTTTATAAGTATAAGAAAAATTACCAGAAAAATATAAAGTGGGTATGATGTCCTATTTTGCTGTACACTAAACAATATCATTACTTGTTTTAGAACACCTTAAGAGTTTTTAATTGTCCAGGGTCAAGCCATCAATGCAATAGATTGCTTATTTACAGCGATTGTCTGCCTGTGCTGTTGTTGTATGTGTTATCCTATGATGTATGTTCAAAATCAGAGAAAATAAATACATGGGCATATACTTATTATTTTTTGTACTGTTCTCCATTAACCTTGGCTTTTCTTTTTTTATGTGCTTCACATCTGATAATTAATAATACTGATGTGATATTTCGCCTATAGTTTTTTTGTCTCATTTAAAACTACGAGGGGTAACACAATCATTTATTTTCTTTTTACTTAGATTGCAAAGATGATGATGCTAGCAAGCTCTACCTCTTTCTCATTTCTCTTCCTTTGGTATTCTTGCTAGGTCTATTTCTTTCTATAGTTTTTCTTTCTCCTGGATGACTATTTGCCCGTTGAATTGTTTCTCTATTTCACCGTAACCAAACAGTGATTATGTTTTTTCAAGTTGTTAGGCATTATCATAGACTCCACCTTAGTTTATTTTACACAGACTTCTCTTCTTGGTCTATGGAGAATGGCTTCTGCAGTATTCTATATAATATGATTGCAGAATATATTGCAAGTGTCATCATTAATTGTAGTTACAAAAATGTCTGCAGAGTTAAAGCATACATATAGTCACCAGTTGCTTTAACTGTACACTATGGAATCTGTTTTCGATAAATTCATGACGTCTCTTCTAGTTTATGTAAAGTAGTCTGAATTCATTCATTCATAATTATTGAACAGTTGTTAAGAGAAGGCTTCTCATAGTGGGATGTGAAGTAGAGAGTAGATCCGCCGCACATTTGTATTTTGAAATGGTACACTTGTGTCTTGTAAATTGTTTAACTCACATAAAAACCAAAATAGCAAGGTTAGTCGATTAGTATTTTTAAAAATAAGAAACGAGTCTGAAACCTGCAAGTTTATTTTCAGCTCACTGCAGTAAAAGACTGTACATAATTAGGAAAGAAAAGAGAAGACCAAATGAAGATCTATTCTTTTCTTATTACTTCTTTATCCTGTTAAGGCAATCTGGACTCTAGTGGTTCCTGCTGTGCACGACTGTTGGCCCGTGTGTGATACGATGGTCGCTGATCTACAGGCTTTTGGCTCTCCTGTGAGTTGTCCAGAGCTGTTTCTTTTCTTGTCCATTTGTCTCCACACCTGGCGTGGCTTTCGGAATGACGTTTGTGAGCTGTTTGGGAGTTTGTTGAGCTTCGTCATTGTGTTCGCAGTTCTGAGACTTTTTGTCATCACATGGACAAGTGGGTGGTAGTAACTTCCGTGAGGCAGTACAGAGTCTCAATTCTGCAGATGTTGTCATTGGGTAGCGCGTTGAGATCTTAACGGGACTACCTGTTTCTGAAACTTGTGCACGAGTGTGTAGGTTAAAGGATTTTATAGCTTTGCAAGGTTTGGCTGTTTTTGAAATTTTAGGGCGACATTCGTTGTGCGAGTCGTTACACTGTTGATTTTTGAAAAATTGAGAGTTCTTGAAGCTCTGAGCCAGCTTCTCCTTTAGGGGCAACCAAGAAAAGAATTTTTTTACCTTTGAGGATGCTTCATCCTTTTTCTGGTTTTCCTTACTGGTGATCGAACTTCTTGTTTGATTGGGAGGCACGCCTGGATGTTGCTTGTCTGTCATCGATTTCCCGCCGCACGATGAGGAGTGATGGACTGGACCTGGTGTCAAGGTCTTTCTGTTGCCCTCGCTGATCCACACCTTGGACGCAAGTGCTGGCCCCAGTTCACGCCGCACTGACCCGTCGCTCTGTCTACGGACACGATAAGTTCGGAGTGTCACGTTTTTCATGTCATGGAGATCTATCATACTCCAGTTGTTGTCACGCACGTTATCAAAAGACTTCGCAGTACATGTTTCGTTTTCCATCTGCGAACCGTCTGTAGTGTCTTTGTCGGGCTTTGAGTCTTCAGATGCCCCGGGTTCTTCTTCTGTGGGTGAAATACAAACTTCAGAAGCGACAGTGAACAAAGGGGTTGTGTCTCCTTCCCTGCAGAAGGACCAGGCTATCACTGGTTTAAGTTTTCGAGACGCGCCGTTTTCGTGGTCGTCGCTCGATTCGCTGTCTGAACAAGTACCTTCTGTGACATACTCCACGTCTACCTCATAAGATAAGCGCATCCGGGTCTTCTTACCATTCCTCAGCCGTTCCATAAGTTTATCACAGTTGCGCCCCCGGTTCATGGTCACCTTCTTGTGAACGGCGTGGTTCGGTCGGAAGGCCATGGGTGAGCGGCTGTCATGTACTTTGATGTCAACGTGTGATTGGAAGGACTTTGTTTTGGGCTCGTGTGCTTGTGGGCGTTCTATATTTGTGTTGCAGTCTTTTTGAGCCTGGCAACGAAGATAAATCGATAATTAATTTTCAACGAAAAATTAGACACATCGTAGTGTGCAAGTGATTGGGGGTCGCTTGAGGTGGGTAGGTCCTATTTTTGAAAAGATCCTTTCCCCTGTTGTAAACGCACCTACATTTTATTATGTTAAAAAATCTTGATTTGTTTCCCTTATGCTTTTCCTTTAATCAAACTAAAACTAAACAACGATTTTTGTGTACCCACTTTCTAACATGTCTGCCAGTTTCTTAGTTTCTTTGTACATATATTGACATGTCTACCTCTCCCCTTTCTTTCTCTTGCATTTGCTCAAGATGCACCCGTTACTATATTATTCTCTGACGGGTCTTAACATACACTCCGCAATCAAACACTAGTCTAAAATGTGGTCACAATCAAGAATGATTTTGGTATCTACTTTTCTTGATTGTGTAGATACAAAATTATGTACCTTCTATACTCTGTACAGGTACTTCGGAATCAATGTTTTGGGGGACAGTTCTCATCCTTTATCATACAGGGTGTCTTAAAAAATATAGTGTAAAGCGCATAGAGCCTGCTGTTGAGCGGGGATATGCGCTATACAAATGCTATTTATTATTATTATTATTATTATTATTATTATTATTATTATTATTATTATTATTATTATTATTATTATTATTATTATTATTATTATTTAAAAAATAGGACCTAATTAAACAAATTTCAACAAAACGTCGAAGAAATAAAGTTGGAATAGGGGACGTAACAACGCGTTCGAAAGATATCAAGTTTTTAAAATTCCAACCAACATTGAGTGAAACACAGACATCGCAATTTCTTTAAAATCAACCACATTATTGTTCTCTTTCAAGTTGTTACTATTTGTTAAAGAGCAAATTTGTACAACATTGATATTGTCAGGTAAATCAGGGAGGTGGTGGCTACTTAATCAAATTTCCAGGTATTGGCTATTTCTCTCCACACACTCCAATACGCCACTGGAAATGCTGAATAACCCCAAGGCTTGTTGCTGGGTCGATTCTTTGGACGTCCTCATGTTCAACATTGGGTTTCAACTCGTCCGACTGTTGGTTGATGGGTTTCCGTAAACGCTATTTGTCAAAAAGCCTAAAAGGTAATACATGTACATGTAATTGAAGGGGCTCAATTTGTGTGTGTGTGTGGGGGGGGGGGTTACTCTAGTTCGCTATGGGCCTTCCCCAAATCTTTCTGGCAACAATACAAGGGACATTCTTGACGTGTCGGTTGCAGCTCCATCCCACTGGAATCATCAGACTTCTACAGCGTAACGCCTTCACCTCAAACTTCTCCAAAACCTTCTCAGCACGGTGAGATAATATCTCCTCTGATGTGACTGTCGTGGGTTTACCGTACTTGTCCTGAAACCAGAACGGGTCGATCACGCCCATGTAGCTGGACGCTTTTAAGAAGTAAAAGTTTGCGTTGCATCCAATTTTGGTTGAAATTTTTAAAACTTCATAATTCATCACGATAGAAAGTCTGATAATGGCAAATTGATTTTACAGTCTGATGTATTTTTTTCATAAATGTTTTACCTCTGTGCTCCCTTCCCCCGTCCCGTTCGCCGCCTTTAGACACTTCCTTTTCAGTCTGAGCTCGGGTGGCGCTGACAGTTTCACTGTCTGGCTAGTGACGCTGTCCTGTGCCTTGGGACTGTGTGCCAAGTCCTCCTGCTTTACTGGGATGGTGTTCTGGGGCAAGTGATCGCCACTCATCTCTATCACTGCCTATGATGTACGCTGAGAAGATTCAAATGATTAAGTTTGTTGTTATATAAGATGAATTTGAAAGGGAAGGTGTGCAAAAACAATAACGCTTCATAAATGTGTCGTGCTACTGGTTGTAACAGCATAACCAAGGCACTGTACAATGTAGTTCATTCATGCACATGGTTATTTAAAAGAACAAATCAGATGTTTGATATCCTTTTCTGAGTGAATAAAAGGTACGGGGCCAGCATCTATTCTATTGTATATTAGTTAAGCATGCACCTCGTGAAAGGGGAATGCTCAGAATAAAAGGGGCATTGTTACTCCTTTCATTGATGCTCAAATTATAGTAGAGTTGACTTACTCGACATAAAAGTCACCATAACATTTTAATATGTCAGATGACAACTCCCCCCCCCCCTAAAAAAAACCCATCCACCGTTGGGGTCGCTACTTAATTAAACGCACAGAGCCTCCTGACTTGATTCTCCTCAGCTCAGATTCTACGTTGTGGGAAGCATCGTTGGAACTGTAATCAAAATCAACATACTGATGAGCTAAAAAGCTGAATTGTAACTGGGTATATCTTCAGAGGCAACAAACGAACGGAACGAGAAGGAGTAGCACCGATCTATGTACACCATGTCAATTTTGCTCAAGTTGCTGAGGAAGTGTTATAAAACAACAGACCCTTCATGACCACACGAACAAAAAAAGGGAACGCTTTACATAGTCGCCCTGCAGTTAATATTTCCTTGATAACATACTATACATAAGGATTGCAAGAAAAGCCTTTTGAAAAAAGGTTGAATCTTTACAATTCTATCAATTCTGTGCAGTGTGCGCTGTACATCACTTTGAGCTGTTCCTTTTGGTTTGATTCATTTTGCTTAATCAGAATTTATGTTCGTGTTCAGAAAAAGTATACCAAGGGCAACAATCATGCTGTTGCTGCCATTTTTGTAACGTATGGATTTGGTTATCTTTCTTTGAATATAATATTACTGTCCGTGCTCCGTTTTCTTGTTTGTAGCTTATAACGTGTGAGCTATCTGAAAGTGTGCCCTTTCGAATCAAAATATGTATTGTACTAATGTCCGTCTTGCTAAGTAGCCTCGCGGATATACGAGCTTGCAGAAAGAAAGGAGACATTTATTGAATATTATGAAGACTCAAAACAACGAGCCGTTTTGAGATGACGAATTGTGTGCGCCATAAGAAATGATGGGGGAAGTGTTATAAAAAAGGGTCTTGATTATGCCCCCCCCCCCTCCAATCGCGGCCTTTGCCTTTTCCCCCTGAATTAAGAAAAAAAGGAAATCACACCCCCCCCCCCCCCCTTGTCTCTCCCTCCCTGTGTCTCTCACCCCTTCTCTCTATCTCTTACTTGCTCTCTTTCCTTATCCCCACTTTTTTGTTTGTTTATAACCCCACGTTTCTCACTCGCTCCTTCTCATCCATAACATACATAGATCTACATGTATTAGAAATCAGGCACTGTCAGCAAAAGATGTGAACTGGGCTGGCTCTTGGTAGGTAAAAGTTTCAGGTCACTAGGGACGGAGCTATTTATTCTATTTTCTTTTGTAGGTGCTCCATACAATTCCTGAACTCCGAGGATGAAATATAACTATATATGTACGTAGATTTACCGCGCGCTCATATGACCTTATGCACTTGCGAGCGCTGTAATACACTTACCAGAAGAAAAAAAAGTACCAGTAGATTTACCAAGAAGACTTTACTAAATGTTCACATGTTCATTTAAAAAAGCCCCCCACCTCTCTCTCGCTCTCTCTCTCTCTCTCTCTCTCTCTCTCTCTCTCTCTCTCTCTCTCTCTCTTTTTTAAAAAAAGTTGTTTTTAGAATGCTTTGAAACTTAATCTACGAGGCAAACGTGCTATTTGTAAATGTGATTGACATAACGTACCCAGCGGCACTGCTTTACCGTACTTTACGGAGCAGAAATAGCTCCAGTGACGGTAGTACTCCACATGTTTTTGTAGATTTCATGGTACTGGTACATAATTCATCTGCATTTTCACAAATAGGAATGCTCTCGAATTAATACACCTTCAAGATGATCTCAAATTGGCTATGCTACCAAACCTTTTCTGTTTAAATCTTTTAAAAAAATCAACACAACCAGTAGCTCCGCCTTGCTTGCTGTACGTCTCAAGATTGTTGGCGCAGCTGATGGTAAAAGACTTGGAAGACTGAACAGCAGACAGCAGACACTCATAGTCGACGAATAGCAATGACAGCAATTTTATACAAAGCACAGATAACAACGTATCATTTTATCTGACTGGCGTGTAAGAGAACAGATAGCTCAATATTTTGGACTGACAGAGTCGCGATTCCACTTTAGTCGCGAAACGAAAACTATTTTTTCAAAGGAACGCTTTGAGAAGATAACGTTTAAAAAAATCTGGCCATTTATTGGGAGCATGTTTGGTTAAGAGATCTAGACTATACAATTTGACAGAAAGGATTTTCTATTTCGCATTTCGTAAATAGTTGATACCCGGTACGGTTTTAGCGGCAAGTCTAGTTGGAGTAAAGTACATCGTCTTCACATGACATAGTTTGTTGTGCTTTTAAGTTATATTATGTCACAACATCAGAGTCAAACATTCATTACATGGTGGAAGAGGGTTAGGAGGGGGGAGGGTTTTTTTAAAAATAACGCCTCGTAATGTCGAAGACAGACGTTGATTTGTACATTTCTTGCCTGACGATTGCGGGCAACTTATTATTGTTATTGTAAATTACCGTTAACATGTTGGTCCGTAGAGAACTCTGCCACTTCCATCTTCCTACAAAGCCAGTCTGCGTTACACGTACGGTAGGCAACCACGCTCACATATTAACGATCTATACAGTTGTAAAATTTACTACTGGATGTGATAGGGGTTGGCTTGGGCACCTCGACAGCGAATATGATGTGGAAGATAAACTATCGTCACGTATCAAACATTAACGTGCAAATTTACATGAACCCAGCAAAATTTTGAGCCAAGTGAAATCACTCAAAATTAGGAAATAAAGCCATTGATTACATTGAAAGAATGTTTAAACAAAACAGTCTTGCAGAAAGTAACTGTTGGCAAGAATTGCACAAACATGGCCATCAGTTTAAGTCCATGGCAATGATGTCACTGTATAATCTTTCACTTGGCTGATCCAAGAATGTCACTCTTTGTTGGCGCGTTCTTCCGTACTTTATACCAGACTTGGACAATGTATTGCAGCATCTCAGAGATCAACAAAATAAAGGATAAAAGGAAATACGTTTGTACAATAGAAAGAAAGATATAATATGTATGTACATAATACATATATGCACGTATTTTGTTTGTATAAACCTATACATAACATACACGCACGCACGCATGCACACAGGTACGTAGGCACGACGCACGCACGCACGAACACAAATACACACACGCGCATGCACATATGTGTGTGTATGTGTATGCGCGTGCGCGCCCGTGTGTGTGCATAGGCCTATATAGATCTAGATCTATTTACTTAATGATTCTAGATCTAGATGTAATCTAGATCTACATCGAATAACTCAAACTGTCACTGTCAGGAGAGATTGGCTCTTAAAAATCAAGAAGGAAACTGTGTGTAAAGAATGAGTAAGAGTTAAAATGTCAGCAAGGGTGTTTTTGAAATCCGTAACCATGGCAGAACCCTCACAGAGATTCGTCTCTAGTCAGAGTAGACCGACATGAATGGGGCCCGAAGTGGAAAGAAAGATAAATCAATACTTACACTGCAGCTTCTAGACAAGGCAAAGCGAGGGAGCTGGCCGTTCACAACGAAACTCGTCTTTCGTCTGCTCACAGCTGGCATGAACGCGTTCAATATAAAAATGTGTGGATTCATTTTGAGCAAAGGGTATTCCCGAATTTAGACAAGAATAGACAAAACAAACAAACAAGCAAACACACAAGCAAACAATATTTACTTTTTTCTCCATTCTACCAAGGCTGACTCCAACCCTTTTTAAAAAATTTAAAAAACGTCACTCTACAATTGAAAAGTCCGTATTTCAGCCAAGATTTTACACATTTTGATGATCTGAGTTTGTTTTGCGTCTGTATCCGGCAGCTGTACAAGTCCATTACTTTCAAGTCCTTGAAAGTGGTTAGCTGTACTATGATAATAATATACATTCTTCAGTTTCCTTCGCAGCTGACCTGGCATAGTGGCAAGGTTAAGAAGTCCGTTTACGAGAATGATATTGGTTCGTCTATAGCTTGCATTTGCTTCACCATCTGTGTATATTATGATACTGTCTGGGAACTGTTGGTAGATAATCACTTGGCTAGCATGTTTAGTTGAAACATGAGTAAATCAAACTTTACATTGCATTTTCTTTTTTTTTTTAGTTTTTTGATTTTGGTCATTCGAGTAATAAAAAAAAACCCAACTCCAAAACAACAAGATGTTAAAATTGAGGTTACCATTTTGTCGAAACGTTTCCCTATAAGCTAAACTTTAAAAAATCTTCCCCAACTAGCTTATCTAATCTTATCTTATCTACTTCCCAGACTATCTTATCTTTAGTTCCAGATTATCAAAGTACGAAAGGCAGATGTTGAATCCTACGACTTCTTTACCCTCAATCTTTTGTTTCGTCTGTCTGTCTTGCTAGTCTTCATTCCTACATGACTGTTATTGAGTCTATGGGTGGTTTTCTTATCGCAGTTTTGGCTCTATTAAACTAAACCAAGTTTAGATAAGCTTGAGGAAGAAGCTCTTTAGGGCTCTGTAAATGAAAGCATATCTTCTAAAGAAAATAATGCTCTCAACTTCACTCAGATAATGAATACATGTCACTCCCTTAGAATTACAAAGTTCAAACATTTTTGGCCGTTTTGAGTTGCAAAGATAATGAGGTCAAAAAGCAAATGCTCTGTCTGCTCTATCAAAAACATAAGAATATTAGAAGTCGTTATCAAGATATTCAAAGAATTGCTTTCGAAAATGGTGGACATATCGTGAAACTCAAAAATGTTGACGCCAAATGTCTCAAAACTAGGTATTGAGCAGATAAAACTTTGTAATTCTGAGGTAATCCTAGCGATATATTATTATGAATCAATGCTAATTTACGGCTGTGACCAGCATATGAACACCGCAGAAGACATATCCTGTCATGTACCACGTGATTATTGGAAAATACTGGTGTTCAGACTTTTGTATCTCTTTAAAGATAAAAAGACTTAATAATAAAATTTTTCACATCCTGGGTGAACGAAGTAAAAGAAAAAATTAATGCCTACGTTGCTACCCGCCTCCGTCTCCGATAGGACACTGCAGGCTGCTGTATAAATCCTCTAGCAAAGATATAATAGTATTATGGACGCCCTGAAATGCACCGGCAGAATTTGAACTCCGGTCTTTGGCACCAAAGTCAAGAATTTTTACCAACAGTTTTCTGTGGGTTGGCTTTTTCACACCCTGATATTTTGCTGTCTCAATGAGACATAAATAGGATCATGGTTATGTGAAACAGGTAAACAAAGATAAGGGTCCTCTGTTAGACTGCCGCAATTATTAGGAACTGAAACCCTGAGTCCGTTTCTACACAACTGTACACATTTGTTTTATGATATCACTATTGTAGCCTCGCATGTCTCTGTAGCATGTCTCCGACACGTTACTTAACAAAGGAGTGTTGTATATGACCTGATACTTACTTTAGTACCACGACATGGTTTTGTGTGGCACTGTGCCCTCTGGGAGCTGAGGGTACATGCCATAGTTGTTGCGTGGGAAAATTCGTCCTTGCTCCTGGAGTAAAAAAAGAAAATTAAGGCAAAATTTAGTGTGTAAAGACTTTCTGGCAGTCCAGTGACTTCAACATACAGCTGTCCTCGACTAGCATCGTCCGGAGACAGGTACTAAGTGACTGTGTATGTATAATGAATGTATTTGTGAGTGTGTGTGTGTGTGTGTGTGTGTGTGTGTGTGTGTGTGCGCGTGTGTTTGTGTGTGCGTGTTTGTGCGTGCGTGCCTACGTGTGTGAAATGGACAAAAGATAGATAGATAGATAGATAGATAGATAGATAGATAGATAGATAGATAGATAGATACCCACAGACAAATCTCAGCATAACTGTCAGTTTATCTATGATATCTTCCGATTACAATTGTCACTTTATCCTTAAAGCGATGTCTTTCGACCTCAGATCTAAATACTTAAAGACATGTTTCACTTTTTTAAAGAGTGGTTATCCATTTCATTATTCATGAAGTATCCCTGTATCCCCCAAGGTGTCGGCCCCCCACCCCCTCCCCAATCCCCCTCTCTGAATCTTTCACATATTATTAGTAATTCAGCATACATGGCGTGTGGCAATGGGCCAACATTATTGGCCTGCCCATTACCAAGTTGTGTTGCGTCCTGCGAGAAGGAGATAAAAGAAGAACAAAGACATGATATTGATTTTTTGCAAATGATATATGTAAAAACGTCTGCAGAACAGCAAACAATGTTTTTTTCCCCCGAAGTATGTCCGTCTATGTTATGTAACTTTAGCTTGCCACTAGCTGAGTGTAACGCAAAGTGAACTCGAGCTATAAACGCGCATCATTCCCATGGGTAAGTGATTGATTACCTTACTCAACCACTTAAAACAAAATCGTCGGGAAATTCCTTTAAAAAAAATTCTGTTTCCTCCCTACGTTGTCTTATTTGCTTGCATTTTTGTTCTGACTTTGAATATTTTTCACGAGTGATTTGCTACCTTACAAACCGAGCCATCTTCCTGAGGAAAACTTGCATTCCTGGACTCATTGTGACGTGTGTGCCACCACTGCAACAAACACCGAGAAGGGGGGTGCGGCTCAGGGGACTTGCCCTGATAGAATTATGGCCGGGCCCCGTTTCGGGAGGGATGTCCCACGGGTACCTTGGCGGGAAAGAAAGGACAAGAAGAAGGGGAAAAATCGTTGACGGGAAACTGGAAATACTGTAGGTTTTTGCCCGTCTCTCCAGTTTGTGTGGAAGTCTTCGAGATGTGGAGGTTCATTCTCGTCATAGCTCTGGGCTGGGATAGTGTGGACGTTCCGAGGGTTTTGTGCCGGTCTTCGCTAAGGATATTGCTGAAAGCGGGGAGAAATAGTCGCTTGGATTTTGTGGGAAGACTCAGAGTCTTCAGTAACGTTACACGTCTGCCTTTTTGTGTGGATAATCGTTGACATGTCATACGGAAAGCTCGGGAAAGCAGAGTATTCTGTGAGGAATTAAAAGAGAACACATTCTCAGATGAGTGGACATATCAATGTGTTCAAGGTAGATACTGATTGGATACACTACTCTTGTTATCAAACGACTCGGGGAGTGGAGTCTTGTGTGAAGTTTTGTCTCACCAGTCAGTAGTGAGAAAGGGTTCTTCCTCGTGGTTGATAGGACATGTTGTCTATTACTGAAAGCTACTGGACTGCACATGTTTTTGAAAGCACTGGAGTTAAATGGGAGAGCCATATTAGTTGCGAGATGGTATTCTGTTTACTCACTCTATCAAGCTTTATTCATGCAGAAGAATACTTTTGAGTTATAATGTTGCCATGTCAGGTTTTCCCATGGCCATAGTGAACGTTTCGTACTACTTCCGGTATGGGAGCTTTACTTATCAAAAGGCATCCTTAAGGTGGTCGTGTTATGGCCCTTTGCTCACTTCTATGTCCAGCTACTAGTTTAAAGAACTTGGTAATACAATGTAATATTGCAATGTTTTGTTTCCCAGCTGCACAATTATTCATACTCTTTGAGTACATATTATTCTCTTATGTTCTCTATTGATGTATCCCCCCCCGGCAATTCTTTCTCGCCTCCCTGCTAAAGCGAAATTCTTTTTTTATGATGTCCCCCCAAGGCACACTACTCCATCCAGATATAGGTCAATGCGTGTATCATTTCCTTTGGAGTCTTCTGTTATACTCGCTCCCATGAATCAGCCAATAGTCTTCTCTAACCCTAGCATCTATTTTTCCACTTTCTTTGTCTGTCTTTCTATTGTTTGGTTCCTGAAATATGTGCTATTGGGACATGCTGGGACTGAAGGGAGTAGATTAAAGAACAGGTGTAGGAGCGGTATGTAGAATTTGTTTGGCTGTCTGTAGCTTGTTTGTACGTTGCATTCGCAAGCAGGTAGATATACTAATATTTATCCTGTATGGATGTTTCGTTTCGCAAAGCCAGAGGTTAAAGGAAAACGTTGTCTAAACTGTTACACCCTTTTGAATAGCTAGGTACAAACAATTAATGTTGCCATGACAAGTTTTAATGGGCTGAGTACTAGAAGTGATTTATTCCAAATAATTATTTTAAAAAAGAAAAGAAATGGCGGCATACATTTTACAACAGACTCCATGTATTTTCCTTGTTTCGATAATGATAAATCTCCTCTAACTCTAGAACATCTGCAATTTACTGACACGGGATGTCACTTCATTCTAGCAGGATTTGGACATACAAGTCACATTTTAAAAGCAGTTTAAGTAAAGAGCTAGCCTAAAACAACGTTCTTGGTAAATCGTCTGTATTTACGATGCTGGTACTGGGGGGGGGGGGGGGGTTTCGAAACAAACGGAATCAATAAACACACGATGCATCTCTGACGTGCGAATGTAACGTACAGACTCGGTGTCTCTGTAACACCATTTAGTCGAGGCTGTTTCACTAGTTTCAGAGTCCCTCTATGCTTTCGGCCACTCATCCATTAGCCCAGCCAGCGAGGCAGACAGTTCATCGGTCAATCACTTCGCTATCAGGGGAGCGAATTACTCAATCATTTGGAGATTACACAACCGGTACAAGCTAGCTAGCTAGCTAGCTAGATAAATAGATAGATAGATAGATAGATAGATAGATAGATAGATAGATAGATAGATAGATA